GTGTGTGTTTTTTCTAAAAGGAGCTGTACAGTAGGCAAATAAATAAATAAGTAAAATGAAAAAATAAAAGAAAGTCGGACCACAATGAATAACTTTTGATCCAATGTTATCGGATCTTCACGTTCCAGAACTCAATTTTAATAATCCGAAGGGGTGACCTCAACATGCTAAAATTAATTAGAACATACGATATTTTTAGTTACGAAATCAGACACAAAGACGTTTCTTTTTTTTTTTTCTATCTGTATAAACATACCTTTTCTCTCTCTCTCTCTCTCTCGACAAATTCGGCTTTCTCACCCCCAAAATGTAGGAGATAGCCGCAAGCTGGGAAGTATTTCGCCGTATCTCGATGAATTTTTTGAGCAAATTGAATAACTTGTGCACACAATTATAATATTGTTTATCCAAAGGCAATTTCATGCAAAAAATAACGTTTAGTAAATATTTATTATTACTTTCTTAATTAACAGTCTAAAAAAATTTTTGAATTTCGCTAAGTATATAATTTATTTATTTAATTTTATTTTTTAGTTAATAAATTAGATAAATTTTGTTATGCATTTCATTCATTTGCAAATTTTAACAACAATTTAGATTTTAATTTATTAAATTCTATTAGTTTTTCTATTGACGAAAAGTTAAGTGCAACAAATACTTAAATTACAATAGTAAGAAATATTTTAAGCTGAAAAAAGAAACATTTAAAATTAATGTATTAAATTATTTTTAAATTAATTCTTAGATTTTTAAAGTAATTCTTATATTTAAATTTATAAACTAAATTCGTGTTTCTTAAGTTTAAAATTTTCATTTTCAATACTCTATAACTGATTTTATTTTTCAGAGTACATTTAACATCGATTTCTCAAATTAGTTATAATTTAAAATAAAAATCATATTCGTCTTAATTAAGTTGAATTAATTAATTAATAAATGATATATTACGCTTATTTAATATTAAAAATGCATTTTTAAATGTCGTAGCTTGTCTATTAAAATAATTTTTTTATATAGTTTGACTATACTTAATATAGATCTTAATTATAAATTGATATTTATTTGGCTTTAACATTAATAGTGATGAAATAAACATTGTTAAGATTATTTATTCAAATCGGCATTTTTAAGTTAAAATGAATTCCATTTTGAGTTTACATGCTCTTTTATAATTAACAATTGAAAAAATTATTCATTTTAGGACGTGTCCACACAAACTCCATTTAACGAATTTGTACTAAAATAACTTTTTTCAAATTAAAAAAAAAAACTATTCAAAAATATGCCGCTAATATGAAAACAAACATATAAATTTTAATAAAGAAATTGCTAGAAAAGATAAAAATGATAAATTCCAAATTTTCTGGGTCAAATTTATAATAATTGTCAAAACTAGCCCTCCACTCTCCTGCCTCTGATAAAAATTAATTCGAAATTAAAAACACAAATACGTTATTTATTATTTCTATTTATAGTTTAGTTATCAGTCCATAGATGGCACTTGCAGTCTATCACTAAGCAGTTCTGAGATGACAGACGCAGCATGAAGAAGGAAAACAAAACAAAACAAAAATAAAGAGGCAGACGCTTCTTCCAAAATCGGTGAAAGAGATGATCACTCAGTTATTGGTGATGGTATGTGTTGCATCCTTTCACTCATAGAAGGATGTCCATGGGTTCAAAATATGGGTATTAATGGTCACTATCCATAGGCGAAAACGATGTACGAAATGACGTTGTTCTATTGTTTATGCCTGTGTTTTGTCCATTTGGTGAGGGGCATGGATATGGGACCGGAGAATTCTATAGCATCGGAAAATAGCTCATCTATGTGGTTCGAAGATCTGATTTCACATGGATTAAATGATAAACAGTATCAAACGTGGATTTTGTCGATCCTTGCATCCTGTGTTGTTGGGCTCTCAGGGATTGTGCCGCTTATTTTTGTTCCTATTGACGCTGGAACCAAAATCAATGAGCAAGGTTTGTTATGATTTTATTTTTAATTTTTGAAATGGTGTTAAATGGTAAAATTTATTTATAAAATACCATTGCATTAACATTGATATTTTTTTTGTTAATATTTTAAAAATTGAATGAAATTTTATATTTATTCTTGTTATAGCACGCGATAAAATTATTCAACGATCGAAAATTACACTCCTTTTCAAGTTACTTTACATTTAGGTTACTTTACATTAGTTACTTTACATTAGGTTACTTTACATTTTCATCCTAACTTAATGTTTGTAAAAATATAATCGAAGTAATGAAATTAACTTATTATACAATTATAATGCCATTTTATTATAGTTAAATGAAGAGAAATCATGCCTTATTGAAAGAAATCATGCCTTTAATTCAATTTCAAGTGATTTAATATTTGCAATGCGTTTTAATTACAATTATATTATGTGTGAGGAATGTTTTTTTTTTCAATTAAAAAAGTTTGACTACTGAATGGATTTTTTTCAGCAAGGAATAAAAATATTTTTATTATCGTTTGCAAAAATTTATTCAACCAGTGAATGATTCAATCAAACTTTTAAAAGACTATAATGGCAATACATTTTAAAATTTCAGTTTTTAAATTCTTTTACATTTAAGAGAATTATAAATTCTATATAATTATTAAATATTTATTAATAATAACTTCGTATATTCTTGTAAATTATTTTTCAAATTTTCTGTAGTGATTAAATATTGTTTTTTTTTTTTNTTTTTTTTTTTTTTTTTTTTTTTTTTTTTTTTTTTTTTTTTTTTGATATTTAATAGTTTTTCTTTTGAAATGTTCTTGAAGCTATTATCTATTAAGGCTTGATATTAGAAGAGATGTTTTGTTCAAAGATAAGTTTATTTGCTTAACGTTTGATTTTGTATAGATTAAATGTTAAAAATTATTTTTAAAAATCGTTAAATTTATTAAAAATATAATGTTTTAAAATATTAAAACATAATTGTGTATTGTATAGATGGAGCTATTATTGAAAAAAAAAAGAATACATTATCTTTTATAAAGAAATTTAAATATTTAATAGAGAATTAATCAACTTTAAACAATTTAATAAAGGTGGTAGAAAAAAATTCCAAAAAAGCAAAAATATTTGTATTAAATTTTTTGAAAAAATTGCCGTCTTTTGATATTGAATTATTAATTTAAAAAAAAATATTATTAACTAGTAGTAAGAATCGCCTCTTTTTTTATAAGTAAATTACAGACGTAGAATTAATTTTATTTATTTTAAATCATGCTTATTTAAGGACACTAATATTAAATACATTAAAGCTAGTTAAAATATAATTAAAAAAAATTGAAAAAGTTTAAGAACTTAGGAATGAAATTGCAAGCACAGAAATTCATTATTGTTTTAGGATAGGAATTAAATGTCGTCGAATGGATGCCGAATGTCGTGTCAAGAGCATTCTCAAAATATGTTTTAAATAACTCTTGTTAAATAGAAAATAGATTTTTTTTTCAAAGAGGTTCTTATAATTATAATAATAATAATAAAAAGAATCGTAGAATTAGAATTGAGTACAAAATTAAAAGTTTGTTTGATTCTGCGTTTTCTTTATTTTATCAATGAAAGAAAAAGAGAAAAGAAAATTTTTAATTGTTCTTTGACTAAATATTCATGAAACAAGGAGGGGCTCCGCTTACTAATCTTCTTTCTCATTCGCCATTGATTTTTTCTCTTTTTTTAATTAGTAAGTCGATATTTTCCGGGAAAACTAAGAACATTTTGTTAGTAATATATACATATAAATTTTATACTGTCATAATTTTGTATTTATTTTACATAATTGGCATAATTTTGTATTTTAAATTTTATATTATTTTTTATAAATATATAAATTAAGAACATTTTGTTAATATGTTATTCATGACGAAATTGAAGATTATCTGGTTGTAATCAATTGTTACTTGAAAGAAATGTATAACTTAGGAATGCAAAATGTGTGATTCAATCAAAAAAAAAAAAAAAAAAAAAAAAAANAAAAAAAAAAAAAAAAAAAAAAAAAAAAAAAAAAAAAAAAAAAAAAAAAAAGAGAAATAATTTTATTTGTGAAGGAAAAAAAGATACAATTATGAATATTTTTTTTTATCTCTCTTTAAGCAAGTTTTTTTTATTTTTATATTTTTGAAAATATCAAAATAAAGGCTGAGATTCATATCTAGTAACATTTAACTTCTGCCTTTTATTTTTCGTTATATTCAACATTTCATTCAATTCCAGCTTATATAATAAAGATCTCGAAAAAGATAAGTAAGTTCTTATACAACAATGGATAAATAGTCATTTTTTAAATAAAGAAATAAGAAAAATCGCTAAAAATCTATTTAATTGACAAGAACTTAAAAATTGAATCATTAAAAAAAAAACTTATGTTAAGTTTATAAATAAATGTAGTCCCTTCAGCACAATTTGAATTTTGTACTTGTATTTCTGCGGAGTGCAGAGCATTCTACAGCGTATTTTTTATGTTGTAGAATAAAAAAATGGCGAATGTGGAACTTGCGTTTTTTCCTTCTTTTAACATAGACCCACTTATCGCTCCGCTCAACAAACCCCTTGGTTGTTCTGTTTATCATTTCTTAAACATTTTTTTCCCTTAAAAGGCAATATTTTTCTAAAAAAAAAGCAAAGAAAATAATAACTTTTTTTTAATAAAATATAAAATTATTGTTATTTCTGTAAGAATATTTCGTTAATAGACTACTCATAACAAGATGAGCGATTGCTTGAATTTGAAGAAGAAGAAAATTCAACCGTTTTAGAAATTTTTTTAAATTCATCTTAATAATGCAAAATGTGCAACAACACAATAAGAAACCATGAATAAAAAGTAATTTTACTTATTATTGAATGCTAAATTTTCTTATTTCACTGTACAATCTGAACATTTTTCTACAAACCATCTTAACTTCTACTTTTAAGTCTAATAGTCTAAGTCTTAAGTCTATTATTGTTAAGTTAAACACTTAAAACAGAGGCGGCAGTGACTCTTACGATTTTTTAATCAAGAGACAATATGCTTTCATTAATGTATAATACCAATATTCTATGATGACAATAGGGAGTGGTGGTGGGAAAGAATCTTTTGGGACTGGGGAAAAAATATTTTTTTTTTTAGTTCCTATAATCAATTCTCTTTTGAAAATATATCAAAATGATACTTCATTCCATAAAATTAATTGAAGAAGTATTAAAAAAGAATAAGAAGAATAAGAAACCTAGAGGAATAAGAACCTGTTTTGTCTTATGGAGAAAAAAAATTAGGAAAAAAAAAATCCAAAAGACGAGCCCAAGAAAAGGAGGAAAACAACTCATCACGTTTTCCATTGATTTCGGTTCGTTATGTCTCCATAAAACTCAACTCTTATGGTTATTTAGTAATTCTTTATTGTTGCGCATTTTATTTATTAGTTATACAGTCAATTTCAAAACAAAGTAATGCCAATGCAATAAACTTGTTTGGGTAAAAGTTTTGTGTCAGTGATGGAATAGGGTTAAGGGAGTAAATTTGAAACACTATACTCATATTCGAAATTTGTCTCCGACCTCAACGCAGTCAGACATTATAATCGTACAAGTTCATGACGAAATTCATGAATATGCATCACTATCTTCATAATTAGAAATTTGTCTCCGACTTCAACGTAGTCAGACATTATAATCGTACAAGTTCATGACGAAATTCATGAATATGCATCACTATCTTCATAATTCAAAATTTGTCTCGGACCTCAACGCAGTCAGACATTATAATCGTACAAGTTCATGACGAAATTCATGAATATGCATCACTATCTTCATAATTCAAAATTTGTCTCGGACCTCTACGTAGTCAGACATTATGATTGTAAAAATTCATGAATATGCATCACTGTCTTCATAGTATGAATTCCGCACTCGCCTCGTACCGACCACGGTGCTGACCTAAAATATCCTCATTGGTAGATGGATCGTGGGTGAGAGTCCTCTTGCCGTCGGGGTAACCACGGAAGGTTTTCATGTTTTTCTCTCTATGCAACACAAATGCGGGTAAGTTCCATCGAAGAAAGTGCCCCACGAAGGCAAATTTCCTCCAATACTTGATCTAGCTGTTCCCCTGTCTTCTGGATTGGTTTCAAAATTAGAAGGCTACGGAGTTGAACTTTGGTAGTCGTAAATCTGAAATCGGGTCGGCTGTTCAACTACGGTTATAAAATAAGATAAAATTAAGGAACCATATCATTATAATTTTTTTGCCAAAAAGAATACGCCAGCATCATTTTTAGACCATTGCGTTAAATACCTAGAGGAATGATATAGGATATATTAACGAACAAACAATATTTGTATTTGAAGTAAAGCCCCTAATTAAGAAAAAAAAAATTATATTTTTAATGTTTTGGCTTAAATCTTGGTGGGAATTTTTTTTCTTCATATAAGTGCATTGAATAAGAATACGTTCCGAGTATCATGATTAAAGAATTGTATAAAAAAGGCGATTGAATCCATCGTCGATTTTATCTCATTTTAAGATACTAGTTTCGAGTGCCTGTCCTCGCCGAGTGTATTTTATTTAATCGAAAATAAGAGGACAAAGATTGAAAATCGTTTGCTCTGATGGGAATGCCCTTCGGTATTTGATTATAATCGTGAATGTTTATTCTCCTTAAATAGAATAATCGATTTCATAATGAAATGGAAAATTTGACAGAATGAATTAATAGATCCATTATGAAATGGATGAAAATTTAGACAGAGGATGCAGAGTTGATTTAGTAGTAGGCAGCGTTTTTCGAAACTCTTACGTCAAATAAATTTAAATAATAATAATAATTATTATTATAATAATTAATATAGTTCAAACTCGCTGTTTACATGCTTAAAATTTGAAGCAGAGTTGTAACTTTTAACTTTTTATATATTGCGGAAAAGAATTGTACGGACAAAGGGCAAATAGCTTTGTTGTTGTCGTCTTAGGCCATTAAG